GAACACTATTGTGTTCTATACATCTACGATTGTTTTTAAACATAACTAATAGTTGAATTTTATCGACTCTGGCCTCAGAATATTATTTGTTTGATCACTGCTTGGACGGAGTCATTTTCGCCATAGAAAATATTTTGTGCATCAGAGCAAATGGCGAGTGATGTACGACAGTATTTTCCGTAAAATTATTTAAATATTTGCCCTACTTGTAAAAATAGGGTATTTGAGACATATCAAAAATCAAAATCACATTAAATGTACTTGTAATGTGTAAAACACTACCCTTAAATACTATAAACAGGGTGCCTCATAAAATCTCTTCTCACAGGACAAGCAACTATTCCTAACGTGGTGACCATTTTATGAGACCCTAACTAATTGTAATTTAATTGTATAAAAATGTTAAAATAAATAATTGAATTGATTTAAATAATAAGACACTCGAATCAATTTTGCTGATGTAAATTATTTACAAAAGTATCTTCTAAATGTTGAAAGATTGTTCCTATTTTTGTGCCATCCAATTATATCCAGTTAGTGAAATTTTGACTTTAGTTGACATATTAACCATTTTTATCACAATCCTCGAACGTTTTCTTAGTAAAGAGAGGCCACAGGTGAAATGAAACAAAACAAAAACATCTAGCTCTTGCAAAACTGCAAATATAGTTTACAAAGAATCTTTAAATTTACCCACATGTAAAACCTTAAAGAAACGTCAGTATAATGAATGTCCAATGAAGTTGGGCGAAATTTCACGAACTGGTATTTAATTATCTTAATCTTGGTAAACTGTTTCTATCGTTTTCTTAAATGTTTTCCAGAAAAAATATTTAAGTTTTTAATAATTTGAGGAAAGAATCTCATTTAATCTTTTCTTTTTGTGGACATTGCCTTTGAGAACTTCATTTATTTTAATTTTACTAATTAATCATAGTAACGATTCAACGTGTAATCACGCCATTCTGCAAGGTTTTACAGGTAGGTAACTATTTAAAAATGCAAAGTTCCTGAGCAAAACAAAAATTAAAAACACAAACTGTTTTCTTAATTACATTAGATTGGCTCTTTTGCGAATATACTACTAAGCCAATTCAATCAAACATGATATAAAAAGGCATTACATTTCACATAGTTGTTATTCTTATTATTAGTTTATTGGTGAAGAAACCTGCACATCAAGAATAGTTTTTCCCATTTTTAAACAATATTAGACGTTATGAATCTAAAGTAAGTGCAGCTCAAAAAATATATATAAAATGGTACATGAAAAATAGTAACAGTATTTCAATTACAATTGATAACATTATACTACGTTCAATATATAGACAAGTAACATAAGTGTTCACCGCATGATCAGGCCAAAAGCTTCCTGGATTGGTTGCATCTTAAGGTGGATATTCATTAGAGCATTTTCGTCCAAACGAAACGAGTGCACACCGTCGAATTTGCCAAGTCCGAGCAGATCGTGCCAAAGTTTATCGGCAGGTTGTCGGTAAATGTATGTTGCTCAAAGATATTTAGTTGTGTATCTGTAAAGTAACACTTAGGCCTCACTAGACCCATTGTGCATCCTTCTAAGCTCTTGAGCCAGCCTACAGATTTAATGTGGTTGATAACGGCGCCAAGAGGTGTTTTTCTTATATCGGCCGGTGTTAGCTAATTCTCGCCGAACACAATTCTTCTAATAAATGAGAACGTCGGGCAATCGTAGAGGATATGCTCGAGGGTCTCATTTTCTTGTTCGTAACCCCATGATATGGAGATAATATATTAATAATAATACTCTCTCTAATCCATCCCCTTAATAGTGAATTTCAAACCCTGAAGCCGACTGAGATTATGTGGGGAAGGGACGGAGATTATTTGCCGTGGCGCTTCGGGGCGACTTAAAGATGACTGATGGTGCCATTTGACAGGTGAGGAAACCCCCATCGAAACGGTAACGCATGGCGATTTTGCTTCCGTACTTGGCAATGACCACTCAGAATGCCTGTGATCAGGCGCAGATTATGTCTAGTCATAGTCAAGTATTTATTTACTGTAGTGTTGTCAGGATAACTTAAAGGCTCCCTGGCAAGTCTGCAGTTTCTTATTTCATGTCATCTTTCCTTAAATTTCACAAGGGAATCTTTAATTAGGTTTGTCAGTACCGATGTTAGTCCAATAGAAGAGCCAGGTCCAAAAAATATTTGGTTGGCTGCCTTCTTGGCTAGTGAATCAAGCAAGACAATTCGATGTGGGGTGACCTTTGATCCATCTTAAGTTGATCACATTGTTGATGGGTACTTCAACCAAAGCTTCGTGATATTCTAGTACTAACCCTGAGTAAATTAATAGTCTCTCCAGGGTGAGTAGTGCTTGTCTGCTTTTAGATAAGCACGTTCCTTCCAGTAATATTATTCTGTCTAGTCATAGTCAAGTATTTGTTTGCCGTAGTGTTGTCAGGATAACTTAAAAGCTCCCTGGTAAGTCTGCAGCTTCTTGTTTCATACCATCTTTCCTTGAATTTCACAAGGGAAGGTTTCTTAATTAGGTTTGTTACTACCGATGTTGTCAGTACAATAGAAGGGCCAGGTTCAAAAAGTTTTTTGGTTGGCTACCTTCTTGGCTAGTAAATCAGCAAGACGGCACCTTTTGATGTGGCGTGACCTTTGGTCCATCCTAAGTTGACCACATCAATGATGAATACGTCGGCTAAAATTTCGTGACATTCTAGTACTAACCCTGAGTAAATTCGTGGTCTGTACAAGGCGAGTAGTGAGATTTAGTGTTCGATTGTGTTTGGTAGATGCGCCAATTTGATTTATTTTTTATTATTTTTGAAATGAATTTGAATAGGGAAGAATATCTACAACCCATAGACATAAACAATATTTAATATTAAGATGTCCAAAGCTACCAATTTTAGGGCCCACCAAGCATATTCGTTTTTCAGTCTTCTTCCGACATTCTCGTGAATTTTTTCAAATGAATACTGTCCATATCCCTGTAGTCTTCATTTTGACGCCGCAAAAACAAATGCCTTGTCCATATTTTTCTTTAATTTTTTTTCTTCATACTATTGGTGAAATGGTTTAATGAAAAAAATGCCTACATCCAAAATAGTATTTTCCGGGTTATCACACTCGACTATTCCACATACACTGAGCGTGGAACAGAGCGAACACACACAAGCACTTTGAATACCTCAATCTTTTTTTACAATTTTTATTCGTTTCGTTTGTGCAAGCTCGGCTCGTTCGGATCAACATGTTCTAATGCATACTCACATTAGGAAGCAAGCAGTCTCAATTTGTACAGTAATCAGAAAATCGCACTCTAAAAAGAATATGTGTGTCTTTTTCGCGTAATGCGTAGCTAATTTCAATGGTTAAGCAATAAATCACAATGAAATGACGATCGCTATTATCGTTTGATGGTCCGTTTGTTTTGGGTAGTTTTGAAATTGTCTTCGTAAGCAGGAACTGGTTAGTTTCTGATTCATTTTTTTAGTTTACAGAGGTTAGGATTCTTTTTAACGAATCTATTACCTCTGTTACTCCAGAAAAATGAAGAACATGTGTAATAGAAAACGCGTAGAAAAAACTTAAATTATAAGTTTTTTTCTGAATAAATTAATTAGTCTTACGAAAAAAAGTTACTCTTTATAAAAAGTTTTGCATGATCTAAAACCCATAATGAAATGATTAGTTATCAACATTTATCAACCATATACGAGGTATGTAACAAAAGACATAAATTTGGTGAAAAATAAAATCGAAAAATGTTGAGAAAAATTCTTTAAAATTCAAAACTACATTTAAATATGTGGCGACTGCCATCTATCTTAAAATCATATTTTGTGTTGCTTCCAAGTAACTTCAACCATTTGTTTTTTGTTTTATTTTAGATTGAACTTTGAACAGTTTCCTGAAGTTATATACTTGTAAAAATCGCAAAATGTTTTTTTTAGAACTTTTCTTAATAAAATAAAAATCTTAATTGTCAAAAATATAATTTATATTTTGTGCCATAACCCCGTATAAGACCAATACATTTTGATTGATGATTTCAGCATGTATTTTTATAGATTAACTTTTTTCATAAAACTAATAACAAAAAAGCAATGTACATCATTATTTTCTATCACTAATTTGTACAGTTTTTAAGAATATCTAACAAAATGAAAATATTTTATAAATTACTTATTAAAAGATAAAATAATTTATTTTATTAATAAAATTGATATTTTTTTCGATAAAATCCTTAATGCGACCCTGTTTACTAGCTCAGTCACGTTCTGTCTGGGTATATTTACTTTTCTTTAACTGGGATATAGTATAATATAGTTATTTTTATAACAATTCTTTCCTGTTTTCTGCTCGATATTGAAGATACTTTTTTATGTAACAAAGTATAGTATAGAGTCAAAGCATGACCGGTAGCTATTCGTTTGTCAAACGAACGCCAGCGGTTCGAATCCCGCTGGCAGATCAAATTAATTTATCATTAATTTGTTTTTTATTATAGGATTTGATGGGTGGCGGATTAGAAGTAAATTAATTCTGTTAATACATCCACGATTCAATCCCGGTGGCCTATCGTTTCGACGATGGTGGGTTTTTCCAACGACAAACAACTACTAGACCAATTTCGTTTAAATGGGGCGAATTGCAATTATTCATGTTGACTGCTCTATATTATAATTTAAAAACCATTAGTAACTTTTTTAAATGAGTATTAAATTGGCAAAATTTCTGGATAATTCAAATATTCGTAAAGGGTTTGTAAAAGTTTTAAAGATTGACAGGAAACATTTATACTTACTGTACAGGGTTCTTCATTCATTTTTACAATATATTTTTCGCTACAAAAATAAAGGGACTGGAAGTTAATCAATTTCCATACTTTGCAATCATAAAAGAATACTCAGAAATTAACTAGCATTATATTAATATATTGTATAATTTTCAGTACAAATTTAATCACTACATTATGCAATAAAACACTTCTAATGGTTATTATCTACATTAAATATATTATTTTTGTAGGATGTACAGATCGAAGCATTTTATTGCATGGAAATCATTCATTTAAATTAAAATAAAAACTATTTATATTTATCACCTTCTAACAGGTTATCCCATTCAATAGGAACACCAAATACTTCTTGTTCTAACCACAGTTCATAGTGTTTTTTAAAGCTTTCGGACAAATCATGGCTAGTTCCTAATACGCTATTTAGACAGTTATCCACAGGCTCAAAGTCACTATCCTGCAAAAACACACAAGTTGGATTGAATTTAAACAATAATTGAATCGGTCATTTCAAAAACAACAGAAGTCAAAAAAATCAATTTTTAGTAGACACAAAAAACTATTTTATACAAAATTTCATTTAATTTAAAAAATTAATAATTTTTTAATAGTGTTTAGATTTTATGAATAGAATATCTAAAAAAACCCAAGTTTAAGAAAAATTAATATTTTTTGTTATATGGTTTTTGAACGGAACAATTTTTTTTATATTTGTTTTGAAAGGAAATAAGAGCAAAAATCTACATTATCAAAACGTTTAATAAAAATTATTTTAAAACGTAGGGAGAAGGTAACATTAAGCTTGAAAAATAAGTTGATAATATAAATTAAAATGTCTACTTAAAAAATCGACTGTCCATGCAAAAACCACATAAGTCGTCATCTTATATTTATGTTATTTGTTACGAATACAAAAGTTTAAAAATATTTATTTATATAACGGTTAACGCGACTTGTGTATAATCCAACGATTGTCAAGGTATATAATCAGAGAAGCAGCTCATTGATTTTTGTAGCACAGACTTAAGAGTTTTTCTACTCTTAAATTAAAAATATTGTTACTTTTTACTTACATTTATTTGAGTATATCTACGGTTATTAAATCTATCCACAGATGCTCTAAGAGCGCATTCTTCAGCTTGAAAATCCCATGGTCTAGCATCCAAATCTTAAAAATTAAAAGTATACAAAAAGTGTATTGAAGGATTCATCTTCCACTTGAACATATTAAAAATTGTAAAGACCTTTCTATTTTTATGTCACAGTATATGTATATAAAATATTTACAGAAATGTTTGTAAATAGAGTTCAAAATTAGGGAAATAAAGCCATAAAAATTAACACTTCCAATAGTTAATAGAAGATAATATAAATACATAATCCATATTTTTTATAAATAAATTTTGTCTAATTTTAAAACAATTCGAAATTTTCTATTTTCTATTAACTCACCATTTCCATATGCCCAGTCGTCATTAAGGCGATGTCTAACTTTTTGGTAAATTGCACTTATTGTCTTCATATTGGACTTCCTCCACTGCCTTCCCAAGTATTTAGTTTGCATTTTTAATAATTTTAGAACATATAACTGCGTCATTGCATGACGCACCTTCAACGTCCGTTTTAAAATTGGGGCGGATTTGAAAACAACGGTCATCTAAAATAATTCACAATTTTATACTTTTTATATAGTTGTAAATGGTTAATCGTATTAATCATAAAAACGCTTGACTCTTTCAAATAAACATTGTTTTAACATAATTTTTCCAAATCTTAATATTTCATAGTACTTTTACACATTCATAGTGATCCATAAAAAAACATGACACTGGTTAGATCATAAAACACAATTTCATCTCTATTATAAATTCCCAAGGGGTACTTAATGCATGAAATTATATTAGTATACAATTGAAACAAATATTTATCTATTGCTTAAACAAATTACTTACATTATGGAAGTCCTATTTTAAGGTTTTACATGTTCTATTTTTGCTGCAACAAATTATTTAAATCATCAAGTTTTATCTTATTATATATTTTATGTTTCTAATACCAAAACAATTATTTTATAAATCAAGATACATTGTACATAAAAGACATTAACAAGAACAAACGTAACAAAACATTATTTAACAATGTGTGTCGAAAAAGTGTGGAAACCTTTTTTATTGCTGATTTCTTAGAAAATTTTATTCTTGATAAAAGTGCATGGCTTAAAATCATATATCAGGGAGGTACTAGTTAAAAATGTTAGAAACAATTTTATTGGCACTTATATACAAAAAAATGTTTTTCAATTTTCTCATTGTAACAACAGAAGAAGTGAAATTAATTTTGACAAATTTACTTAAGCTCATGTAATAATTTTTATTAAAACTAATATAATTAATCTAGTTTAATATACCCTTTGTTATGCAGATTAAAAAAGTTATCAATTTTGGGTTTTCTTGGTGCTTTATCATATCGCCCTGTACATGCGTAGATACGAATAATTATTAATACAAACAGTTTCAAAAATACTTGTTTATTTATTTAAAATCATTAAAATAATATCTTAAACTAAACAAGTTTTGAAAAGCAAACAAAAAAATAAGAATTAAAATACCAATTTTTAAACTCTGCAAATATCTTTGATAATACTAGTTTATTTTCATTATTTTATCTGAGAAATCAACAATAAAAAGTGTTCCATATATTGCAGACTTTTGCGACACACTTTATACTATTTATACTGTTTTTAACATGTATTTTTACCCTAACAAGCAGACTTTAAAAAAAGCTACAGCAATAAATGCAGTTTATTTTAAATGTATAGATTTTAACACTTATTTTAATTGTAACTAATACTAGTGAAGCATTTATAATTGATATTTCAGGTTACCGATGAAAAATGTCACTACTAAAATGTCGTCTTTCTAATTAGGCATTCCAAACAAAATGGCTGTCGTGGGAAGGGTTGATATATCTAAGGGGTTACGACACACGATGTATTCTATCGACAACACGTGAAATCATAAATAATGGATTAAATTTAAATATTTGATGTCGAACACATTGAAAATGTTTAAGGATTGCTTATACACTTTTCATAAATTGACTTGGCGACTACTATTTCGAATAAAAATAGCGTCCAAGATGGAAGGCTATGTCGCAACCCTCTTAGATACACGAGCCCTTCCCATCGGCAGCTATTGTTTGACAAGTCATTGTAACCCTCTACTTAGGCAAATCCTGCCAATTTATGAAAAATGTATAAGCGTTTTTTTTTTTTTTTAGATAAAAAATACGTGTGGCATTCGGGGACTGCCGCGGTAAAGCTATTGCATAGCATTTTTTATCAACTTATGCAATTATAATTATTTATTTATTTTATTTATGCAGTATTTTTTTTTCTTTGATATTAATTCAAGTTTTTTCTTTGATATTAATTCAAGTTACACGTTTTAAGCGTGGTGACCGATAAGAAACAATTTTTTTTTCTTTTATTGAATAAATAAGAAGTTAATATTGTTTAAAATATTTTTATTATCTTTCAATACATGTAGGTTATTCAGGAATTTTTATCATTGAAACTATAGGTTTATGGTAACTGAAATAAGAAACATAAGTTTGAGACTTGATATCCTCCAAATATCTGGAAAATGCCGCGTCAATGGTGGTCCCATATTTTGTTGTGGATTCTTGTGGATCATTATTCATTTTCAGATTCAATTTTTCCTAAATTGTGTCTAAAAGAGATGGAATCAGTTATGAGCAGTTAGCAGCTAGTCTACACGCATAAGGCTAGTCGCACGCACACAAACACAGTGCCGAAGTCTGCCGAACTGAAACGACGTTAGACGATGCACGGCTTTCAACGCCGCACTGCTGTGCCGGTCGGAGTGGGGGGTGTTAGGTTTATTTTCGTTACGGAATTTTTTTTCTATTTTTCGGTTTTTCGATTTTTCCGTTTTTCGATTTTTCGGTTTTTCGATTTTCTTTTATTTAATAAATGAGAAGTTAATATTGTTTAACGCCGCACCGCTGTGCTGGTCGGAGTGGGGGGTGTTAGGTTTTTTTTTCGTTACGCGTTACGGAATTTCTTGATTCGGTCGCCACGCTCAAAGCCCGCGATAAAAGCTATGCAATAGCTTAAAATTTCATTGTTTTTTAAATAAAAATTTCATTGTGTCCGACATAAAATATTTAAATTTAATCTATTATTCACGATTTTATGTGTTGTAGATAGAATACATCTTATGTCGAACCCCTTCAATATACCAACCCTTCCCATCAACAGCCATTTTGTTTTGAATGCCTAATTAGGCATTCACATCCTGTCAAAAATGGTTGCCTGATGACACACAAACTTTTGTTTACTTGGTTTTTCAAGTTATTTTTGTACATAATTAGTTTAAATAACTGTAACTTTATGTTTGGAGGGTGGATATTTAAACAAAAACACGGTTTAGGCTAAGCACATAGTGGAGCGGCTTGCAGAGGGATGAGGAGAATACATAGTAAAGCGGTGATAAGAGTCGCGGTAACTAACATAGTGGCAAGGTTAAAAAGGAGACATGAATTTATTATTAGTATAAAATTGTTCCCTGAAAATTTGTTATTTATGCCCATGGTGAATTTTATCATTTGTATGAACAATTACGCCAGTATCCAGAAAAGTTTCATTCTTATTTTCGTATGGCTATTACAACTTTCAATTATACTTTAGAAAAAATACTTGTAGACTTCATTTGATCGTAATTATAGCAACGAAAAAAGCAGAGAAAAACTTGCTTAAAAGCGGCGCCATCCTATGTTATAACAACACTTTTACCTCGTCTCAGCCCGCCCCACTATGTTGTATTCGATAGGATATTACCGCTTTGCTCGCCGCTAAGTGTGGGCTTTTAATAATAGTTTTATCTTTAGTGTCACGTAAAAAGTAAAGTTGCTCTTTTTACGGGAAACTATTTAAATTAAGAGTACTAGAAGTAAAACGTGTGTATTAGAAAGAAAATACATTGCAGTCTGTTATTAACCCTTTCTTTATCGACCGTTATAAAAGCTGCATTGCCACCATTCCCAAGCCTTTTAATTTGCCATTGGATCCTCTGCCGTATAAGTAGGGCACATATTAACATTAGCCAGATCATCCTATATTAATAAACATTAACTCAGTACACTGTTAAACATAAACAAACAAAAGCGGACTCTTAAACATAATCAATCAAATATTCTTAAAAATATATAATATGGCACGCAACACCTGCAAATAAAATAGATTTTTTTCTTGGAGGACATTTTGAACACCTAATTTAGTAAAATATTTTTGAATTATTTTGTTGTGAAATTGTTATTAAAATCTTTTTTATTATTATTTTGTAAGATTAAGCACTTAATTACAAATAATTATCTTTCATTCATTTATTGTGTCCGATCTTTAAATGACTTTTATTCAAAAAAAATTATGGCTGACAAAAATCTATCGAAATCAACATAAGGAGCATCTAGAGAGCCCTCCAATAATACCAACAGAGGTTAGGTTAGGTTAGGTACTCAAAAGAAATCGATCTTCTAAAACACAACATCAAAGTGGCACTTGGTACTTCGATTTTGAAAAGAAATAACTTACCCCAGACACTAAACAGTAAAAAATTCACCTGGATGGGGATCTTTGTGCATTTGTGCAGTATAAATGCATAGACACTGAATAATATAACAGTTATATTGGACCATGAAAAATAACCACAAACGCCAATGAATGAAACAACACCAGCAGCTATAGGAGAAATGTCAAAAATAGAATTATTGAGAAGCAGATTGAAAATTTCATTCCACGATTTAGAATCATTAAATAAAACATCTGTACTATCAAGAAACGTATCAATCATTGTTGATTAAATTAAACACTTAAGAACAGCTGTAGAAAGTACCATCCTAATTAAGTAAAAACTAGAAAGTATATAATGCTAGGGATTCTATATTATACTCTTCGCAGTTTAACAGGCGCCCCATTTTTATAATCAGATTTTTCCTAAATATTTTAAGTTAATATCGTTCTGTTTATGAATTAGGATTTTTTTTAATATTTCAACTCCCCTCATTTTATTTATTTTTTTTTCAGAATCAATAGGCTTCATCCCCTTATAGAGCTCGATTTTTACTAAAAATTTCATGTTATCGCTTTTCAACCCCCTTAAACTCCCTTTAAACCCTCCCAATCAATAAACCTCATTCTCTTATAGAGCTTGATTTTCGTGAATATTTAAAGTTAATATAGTTTTTTTCTGAATTAGGATTTTTTAATATTTCAACCACTCTTAATAGCCCCATTTTTATTCATTTTTTTTTTTTTTCAGAATCAATAGGCTTTATAAAGCTTGATTTTTAGTAAAAATTTCATTGATATCACTTTTTGATTTTTTTTAATTTCAACCCCTCTCCCCCATCATATTTTTCAAAATCAATAATCTTCATCCCCTTATAGAGCTTGATTTTTGCTAAAAAAATCAAGTTAATATCATTTTTCGTTTTTGAGTTTTAATTTCAATTTTTTTTCAAAATCAATAGTCTTCGTCAAGTTGTCAACAAACTGAAAATTTAATTATTTTTTAGATAAAAAAAATTGTAAAACAAAACCCTTTAACAAAATTGGACCGTGCATTAACGGACACACTACCTTTATTTTTCTTAAACTATCGGCTGGTAAAATTCTGACGACATAAACTGGACCACCCTGTATATTTCCAAATTAACTGGTATTTGACAGAAACAAAATCAAACATCTATTAACTCAATGTAAAATTTGGGTTTGTGCGTCATCAGACAACCATTTTATCTGTCAAAAGGTCGCGTGGTTTGGAATGCCCAGTATTTTCAGCTGTTATTTTTGTACAATTTTTTCGGTTATATTTTTACACGAAATATGTATACTATAAACATAAAAAAACTATGTCGTTGACAAACATAAAAAATATATGAAATAAAATATTATATTTTTATTCATATATCAGAATCGTAAACATTTTTTGACTTGTTCAGTCCAAGTTTTGTTTATATTAATGAAACATGATGTAAAATATTTGAAAGAAACATAAACATACATGATAATGTCAAAAATTTAAAAGCACAGATCCAATACACAGGGTGCCCTGGATGGACTAAAAATTGTTATTCTTCATAAAAGTAATTGCTTGTTTCAAAACTAATACTACTAATAAAAGAATTTAAATCTCTTTGATTTAATGAAATAATGACGGACCACTGCAATGGTCATTGCAGCTGGCCAGCTCGTTCTCAGGATTTAAATCCACTGGATTTTTTGTGAGGTTGCTTAAAACAATTTGTTTAGTCGTAATTTGGAAAATATCGTTGAAATTTTAAAAGAAACAGTAAGAGAAATTATTTTTTTCTGAAGAAAATGTTTACAAAAATTTGTATGCAGAGCTGAAAAATGTATTGTATTGGGTGGTGTTCATGTTGAATAATATAATATAAAATAAAACAATTTTTGTATTATTTCATGTTGAAGAATATTAAATGGGAAAAAAATAATTTGTTATTTCACCAAAGCAAAGAGATATTCAACTTCGGTTTGAATTATTATTTTTAAAACAAGCAAAAACTTTTATGAAGGATAACATTTTCTCTAAAAGGTAAAAAAGTTTTTCTTTTTCAGCTCATCTGGGGACACCCTATATATTACAAAAGCAAAATTAACTAAGAGTAGTAAAATAAATCAAATTGCCCATCTTTAAATATAATAAACACATACAGGTCGTTTGTTTATACAATTAATTCCATATGAAAACCCTATTACTCTATATGATTGATTGTTTAAAAAGGACCCAACCTGAATATATTAGAATAGTCATAAAAAATCCCAAAAAAACCTTAATTTTTATTAAAAGGGTGACATCTTTCTATCATATCCTCAACTGCTATTCACCGTTCCCTTCCCCCTCCCCAACACATTTGTAACTGTAATGTTCGCCAAACTATTATTAATTCTGTATAACTGTGCAAACCACTCATATAGTGTTGTTATAAGGTACAAAGCAGAACGGTGCCTTATAATCTTTAATACTAATAATAGTTCAGCAAATTTTGGAAATCGGCCCTTTTACTTTCAAGCTATTGAATTATTTTACATTGTTATAAAAAAGTTAATTAACTGATACTGTAATGAGTTTTTACAAGTTTCTAACACTTATAAAAAATTAAATTCCAATAACTTTTAAACTACCCTGTATAACAATGTATTTCCTTAATACATGCAAACACCCCTTGGTTTTATACTTTTATAGCATACCAACATTTTTTAAATATGTAGTAAATTTGAAGGTAATTATTTTTTAAATTATTTTAAAATTTAATTATTATCACTTACCATTATTCGAGAATGTTTCCATTTTGTTAATTTATTTAATATCCTAAGTAAGTTTATACAAGAAAACATATTACGCCAAGAAAAAGCTGCTGAATCGCCAATTTCTAAACTTTCCGACGTTAGTTCAGGTTGATCACCAATCACACAAGAAGGAAAATCCAAAATTGGGATGCTAAAAGATAAATTAAAATTACAGTTTTAAAAAAGTTAAAAATCGCAAATAATAAATAATGCTAGGTAGGTACCTATTATTGTATTGTACTTACGCGTTTTTTGCTCCAACATAAGCCATTATATTTTGATTGAAAAATTTTAAAACAAGTGGTATACAATTAGCAAAAACCAAGTGTTGTGACATAAATTCAAACTGATAGATGTGATTTAATTTAAAATGCTTCAAAAGTAGCAACAAAATAGCAGAAACTGCTTTAACAATAATCTCCTTATGTCTGTTAACATCTATACCGAGTTTCATAGACTGTAAAACTGTCATCCTAAAAGTAAAAATTTTCAAAATACTTGTTTTACTTTCAATAATGAAAACTTACGGCATTTCCTCTGGCAAAACATCAGCCATAATATTAATAGAATCAGTTTTAGTTTTTGAGGTAGGAGCGGCAGCTAGCAAAATCTTTAACAAAGCTATCATATACTGCGGAAGATTAGGCAACATTGCTTGATATAATATCTCAGTCGGAGTCATTTCTATCTCATCCTCACTTGTCGAAATTGGATTCCTCGCTATTTCTTCTTCCTTTTGGATTTGCAATTCCGCTAATGATGTATAAATATGCTTAAATTAAAAATATTCTATATTATTTATCCATAAAGATCTAATGAGAGTAAAGGATGAAAACGATTTTCCGAGTGGAGAACTTGAACTGGAACGGATTAATCTCTAAGAAACCTTACAAGGTTACTAAATAGTCGAAATAGGACCATAGCATTTTATTTTGAAATTTTAACTACCTAGTAATTTTTTTAAGAGAAAAAAAAAATGGTAGGGTTCTTCCTTTGTCATATATTTTAGATTAGTTTTTATTATTTCTATATTTTCTTTTCATAGGAGAATTCCCTATTTATGGTACACTAATACAGTTCTGCAAATTCCATCTAAGTCAGGAATTAGATTCAACAACTAACCCTCTCTCTTCTAAAAAGACTTCAATATCACTCTTAGAAAACTTCATATTCATACTTAATATCCGAAATTTAACAGAGATAACAGATTTAACGTCCCAGCACATAAACTTGAAAAATATTATCAAAATGATATTGATTAAACAAAATTTTAAATATTTTTAATGAAGTAGCTCCAAAGAATGGTGAAATGATACAGTAAGTGAAGCAACTAATCATAGAGATGAATGTTACAAGCACTAATAATGACTGGTAACTTCAAACAATCTAGAAATAATGTTGTTAAATTAATAAGAGCTGGAAAACGAAAATAATATGAGCAGACGATAGATTACAATAAAGGAAACTCCAATGAAATGAGGAAGAAACTGAAAAAAAAAACAGAAAAGAAAATTAAAGAACAAATAATATTCTAGAGCTTAAAATTAATAATAACGAAATTTATAATGAATCAACGGAAATATCTGATATTTTAAAAATAATGTTTGTGTTAAAAGTATATAGTTTATTGCCGATATTATTGACAGTACAGGCCCAGATTGTCTAACAATTTTTTTGTAGCAAAGTTTGAGTATTTTCATTTATTGAATAATTTTGGAGCTTAAAGGCTGTATGTCACGATACTGAATTAAGTACTAAATTTAGAACTAAATTAATGCATTTTTTAAGTACTAAAAAAATTCACGTTGCAAACAGCAAATTTAGTACTAAATTTAGTACTAAAAAAAGTCATTAATTAATTAGATCTTGTTCTATTTTCTACTAAATTTAGTACTAAAAGTGCGCCGAAATGTTGCGCAGAAGTTTTTCATAGAAAAAGTTGACACGACGGTATTTTCTGTACCCTTTTGTTTTTAATTAGCGACAATTTCACATTATCGCCTTGAATAAAGTTCGCCTGTTTGATTTTGTAGGTTTTATTGTGTTTTTCCGTGGTTTTTATGCTGTATTTGGTTGTCAAGTCAACTAGTATCAAATTGATAATAAAAACACCATTTACTTCACTTGTCTGTTTTACACAGAATATTTCATTTCTCTGCTAATTTCACGTATTAATACGTCAATGCGCGTGCGCCCATAGTAAATTTAGTACTAAAAATTGGTATCGTTGCAAACGGAAAAAAAATATTTTTAGTTCTAAATTTAGTACTAAATTAATGACTTAATTTAGTGCTAAATTTAGTACTTAATTTAGTATCGTGACATACAGCCTTAAGGTATATTTGATTTAGATACCTAATAAAAATAGTCATGATGAAGTTAATATGGTACTAATAAAAAGTGTTTTGAAAATTTGCAAACTTTGCTATTAAATATGATTAATTCATGACTCCTCACAGGTAAAGTGTCCATTGATACTAAAATAACAACCATAGTACCATGCCAAAAGTAGTCTATAAAATCATCTGATCAACGCCCCCTTAATATCATTTGTGCTGTTGGAAAAATACTTGAGAGTTGTATATGAACAGTTTGTTGATTTTCTTTATTCTAATGAGACAATAATGATTTTCCAATCAGGTTTATGGAGCAAACAACGGTAAAGCAACTACACACTATGTGTAGTATTTTCAGATTTGCAAAGGAGATTTGAGATGGTAGATAGATAGGTTGATTAAAAAGTTGCAAAATAAAGGTATATAAGCGGTGTGGCATTGTAGTGGTTGGCAGATTACCTAGATAATAGATCACAAAAATTAAAAGCAAATAATGGTGTACCCCAGGGAACTGTATCGTGCCCGCTGTTGTTCCTAGTTTATGTGAATGATATTGTGAAGGTAGTAAATTGTAAAATTAATTAATTAATTTGTGACTAAATAAATGATTTATATTAATTAATAACTATTGCTTATCTAAAGAAAAATATGTTAAATAGGTACTTACTTCATTTAGTGTTTTAACTCCTTCGTGAATAGGCTCAGGCAAACCAAAAAGTGTTGTTCTGTCACCCGGAAGACTGTAACCCAAAAATTTCAATCTGGAAGTATCTAAGAACATGTCTATATCTTTCTGACGAACTTTTGGTTTCCAAGGTAAACCTTTAGGCAGTACTAAGGCATTAGGAGAAGGCGGTGATATAGGCCTATAGGTTTCGTGATTATTCCGGTAAAGTTGATCGTTTGTCTCATTCGCGTGTCGTCGTTCGTCATATTCTGATAGTTCATTCATATCTTCGACGTTTTCACCATTTCCTAGACCAGAATCTAACTCCATACCAACTAATGAATCATGGTCATCTAAGCTACTTTGTTTCATTAAACTCTAGAATGACAAAATATATACATTCATCAAATGTATATTTTTTTATAAAATACAATTTATACCAGAAATTGGAAATTTTGGAGACTGGAAATTCTTGAAGATCGTATTTTACAATGTCGGAATACTTACTCTCCTAAAAGGCCTAGTATTTCTCTTCTGATTTTGAGCTTCAAGTAGGTCAGAAGCACTTGCTGGTGGCGAGGAAGATCTCATGGTTTTAGCTATTTCCATAGTATCTTCATTATAATACGGAAGTCCAACTTTCTTCCTTTTGTCTAATTTCAGATCTCTTAAAGTATTCATACCTCCCAAAGAAACCAATATAAGTTTCCAAAGTAACAGTAACACTTTCTTCATAGGAAAATGTGGAGCTGAGCCACTACAAAATCTCGTTACCATACTCAGTAACTTTATGATCAGGAGATCATCACTTGAAGTATATGCTGAAAAAAAATGTTTGTAAGGTTTATTTTATAATTATTATTCTACTTAATAAGTAATGTATTATGAATTTAATTTTACAAGCAATTTTACACAAAACATCTTATTACCTATTTCATTACAAAAAGAGTTAATGTCATCTTCATACTCTGTAGTCCCAGTAGCTTTTTCATTTCTAATAACTTCAGTTATTGTATACAAAACAGATAATATTACTCTCAGATCTTGTGAATCAGCTAAAGATATTGCTATTTTTCTCATAGCAACATGTGCGGCTGTACTATTCCTAAAAAGAACAAAATCTTAAATTGAGTGTCAACAAATGAACAACACAATCGTTCTCCAACACTCAGAGTAGCTAGATATTGCAACTATCTTCCCCTTGAACTTTCCAAGTGCATACAAAAACTGTCCCTACTTTAGCTAGAGGCATTTATAATGCATAGTACTTAAAAAAATTCCAGGACTTTTTTGTTTTATGTGTCACAAATTTGAATAAAATTAATCATATTTATAAACTAAAAATTTCCTTGACATTTGATAAATTCCCCGACTTTTCATGACCAATTCAAATTCCCTGATTTTCCATAGAGAATTCATAGGATATAAATGTATGTATCACAGAGCTAAAAATACATTTATATTGATTTAATTATAGTTGAACATTTACACTTACTTTGTGGAAGAAACATGCTTTGCAGTAAAACAAGTTAAAAAAGTGGGTCAAAAATATATTATGTTAGTACACCATTGGTCTATTCTCTTCCTCTATAAGCTATATAATTATTTTTGTAAAGTTCAGCCAAATCTTTGCAATGCAAAAAATCTGATGTGTCCAACACATGACTTTCCTATCTAGTTATTATAGGCTTTATAGGCAGTTATTTTGTACAACCTATTATACCTCCTCTATAAATATTTAGAGAATAAACTAAATATATACATTTTCCACATACATTTAACTCGAAATATTTTTTTACAGATATTCATTGAAAACGAAAGTACTGAAAAATTAAAATTTAGTACTTTTCTCCAATTTTTCCATTACGGTTCATTTTCGAAAAATGTAAAAACAAACATTATAGAGATCAATATCGCAAACAACTTTTAGTTTAACAATTTTCTTAAAAATCAGAATTTTGCACATTTTGTCAAATTTCTCGAAATTTCAGGAAAATTTGAAATAAAACAAAAATTATAGATAATAATATTAGAAGTAACTTTTAATTGAACAATTTTCTTCTCCAAACATAAATAACAGATATATTCCATAAAATATAAAAACGGTCACCCATAAAGTACCTCCCCAGATGTTCCGACTTTGTCCAAAATCTAATCAATTCACGTCAGGCCGAAATAAACCTTAAGTTTAAAATTTAATGTTTTTTTCTTTATCCGTTTTTGAGTTTTCTTCAAAATTCGAAATTTACACATTTTCTCAAATATCTCGAATACGGTCCATTTTAGAGAAATTATGTATAGAATAAAAATTATAGAGAATTATATTACAAACAACTTTTGTTTGAACAATTTTTATAAAAAAAAATATTTTTTTACATTTTGTCAAATTTCGCGAATACGGACCATTTTAGGAAAATTTTGTATATAACAAAAATTATAGATAATAAAATAAGAAGTAACTTTCATTTAAAGAATTTTCTTCCCCAAACGTAAATAACAGATATATTACATAAAATATAAAAATGACCACCCATAAAGTACCCCCCCCAGATGTTCCGACTCTGCCCAAAATCTAATCAGCTCATTAGACGCTGGAACAAAGCTTAAGTTTGAAATTTGGTGTTTTTCCGTGTATCGGTTCATGAGTTATGCGTTATACAGACACACACACACACAGACACACAGACACACACACACACAGACACACACACACACACACAGACACACACACACACAGACATCATCGCGAAAATAGTCAAAACGGATTCAGGGGACCTCAAAACGTAAAAATCCGTCGAAAACTCGAGGTCGAAAAAAATCATGATTCCTATACTTTCCTTATATCTGAATACAGATAGGAAAGTAAAAAGATCAGTTCAAATATCAGTGAAAGTAAAGAATAAACAAGCATGTAGAGGTTTCTTTAGAAAGTTAAATTGCAAATCTATATAAGAACAAAAGTATGTATATTCAAGGAATTTATAACAGATCACAGTATAGAGTTTCTGCCTGCAGATTCAAGGGTCCCGGGTTCGAATCACACTGTTGGCAAGGATTTTTTCATTTAATTTATTTATTTAAAATTAATTCTGATGCTTTGGAAGGATTCCCCACTCGACCATTCACTGTTGGGTTCTAATTAACAGTGCGGCGCCTAAAGTGGCGCTGTAAAACAGTAACAACGCCTACACAGAACACGATGCGAAATAAACATAATAGTTGAAGCCAATGACACAAAAAAAATATCAAACACTAGAATGATATGCTGTTTTTAAAGTATTAAATATAGCACAAATTCATAATCACATTTTTGGGCCACAAGATTCATAGGATAATTAAGTAAATGTTTATTTGCTTTAAACTACTACCTAACAACTATTATCTAACTCATTTCTCACCATATGTATCAGATCAACTATAGAGAGCATATATTATTTGTGCCTTCAGTATAATTTGTTTGCTATAATTTGTTTACTATGGTAATGTGGAATTTATCGATTTCCTCATTTTTTCTATGCACCACCCAAATATATAAAGCACCTGAATGTCAAACATACTGATTTTTAAATTTTTTATGTCAGTTGTATATACAATTAGAAATGTTCAAGAAAGGTATATTTTACAAAGAGATGAATAAAGTTTAATAGGAACATGCACATAATAGAGAGGAAACAGACAGATTTATGTGATGGACAAGTGAGTGATATATGCCAGATATGTAAATATTTCTATTACACCTTGTTCAATTCATTGTAAGGTATAGTTTTTGTGTTAAAAATTAAGGAATTATGCACTTTTAAGTTTAATAAAAGGAATTAAAAGTATTTTTTGAAATTATGCCATAAATTAACAACTAATAACCACCAATGAAAAAGGATTTAATTCATCTCTTTTAAAAGAACAAGATGAACTTATTTATTTTTCTGATATAGCTGCTTTCTAAGTGAATTATTTAGGTTTTTCATTTTAAGATGTACAGTGTTCTTGTGAGTTAATAACTAGTTCTACGAATAATCCTGGAAATATTGAGCCATTTGAATAAATAATAATTAAAACTTACTCAAATTCAATATTTAATAGATCAGTGAAAGCATTAAAGACCCCCAACTGATAAAGTAAAACAGAATTGCTCCTAGCCCATTGTTGTTGCTCTGCATCAGATTGCATTTCAGCCCAGCAGCCTTGAGCAATGTATAATAAACATCTAGCACTCCTCATTCTCAAAGGCTTGCTACTGACTTCCAATTGATCCAGAAGCTTCAAAACTACCGATTTCCGTTTGTCAAATGGTAATCTTTGCCAACTAGGTGGTAAATTATAGACTTCCATTTGGTCCTCAAATGCTTTAACATTAAGTTGGAGCTCTGGCTGTTCTGTATAACTATAGAGCTCAGCAATTTCATTAATGTGGGTGTCTGTGTCATCATAAACAAATTCCAAATCTGGGGAGTCTGTACCACCACCCTGCGAATAAAATATATATCAATTGTTTTACAATAATTGTTGTCTTACAAAATTCTTTATTTATCTACAGTTTCTTCAATTTTAAACCCTATTAATACAGTAGATAATAAACAATAGGTTAGTTAGTAAAAGTATTCTAGAAATGTACTATAAATGGTTAGAAACACTTCATAATACATTTTATCCAGACATAATTTTAAGTTTCTTACATCAGAATCTTGTCGTTGACGTCTGATGATTTCCCTAAGTCGAGGTAGACCTTTCTTGCCATTGCCGTTTGTATCCATTCTGAATAAAGCATCATATTTGTTTGTTCATTATTATTGTATAAAAACAAATATTATTAATAACAATCTAGAAATTATTTTTACATTTTATTCTTTGATTGACAACTGTGAGATTATTGACCCAAGCCCATTATCCCAAGCTTTTAAATTTCGACAGTCGACAGAATGACAGGTGATAGATGACAGATGCCACAATTGAAGGCCGTGATGCCACAATGTGCACGATGTCCAAGGATTTATATACTATTATAACAGGATAGATTACTTCAATCGTTGTCTCGATACCAGTGGTTCTCAAACTTTTTTGGTGACGGAACCTTTTTGAAAAGAAATATTTGACGGAGCCCTAAACACATTTCGGAAAAAAAGCCATCCTTGCTCTAGCCTCTTGCCAGGTCCCTCCCGTTTCTTTGCGGAACAGGGACGAAATATAGTCCAGCGAGTTATCAGTTGCTTGAATTATTGTGTCTTCGAATAACACGAGGCGAATTTTTTCGTCGGAATTAAATTAATGAAAAATAATTTATATATAAGCATTGATATTGAACTAAAACAAAAAAGAAAAAATTTCGACAAATTTTGCGTCCTTTATAGCTCCTTAGGACAACCCGCCACTTGTATATACTATATATTATATATCAAGTGGGAATTGTAGTAAGGCGTTGGTTTAGGTATGAATCTTACTTTGTAAATGTGACGTGTGTTGTCTATCTCTTTACCTTCCCTATTTCCTTTCGTTTTGGCTCATATGGGAAGCATGGAATTACACATAGAAGAATTTACCGACGAGGGTAAAAAATTAGGTTAACTGGTCGGTTGAATGTCTGGAGGTAAAGAAGACAGGAAGCGATTTTAGACTTTGTGGCGATGAATTTGGCACACAAACGTTCGTTTACTAATCTGTAACTGTGTCGAGTTGTTTTTGTACATCTCTTACCAAAGTTGTTTATATCTCATATCAAAGTTGTTTATATTTCATCTCAAAGTTGTTTACATATCTTATTAAAGTTTTTTATATACTTTTTCAAAGCTGTGTGTTTGTGCAATTATGTGTTTCATATAGTGTTATTTCTGAAACAAGAGTGGTCTAAAATTGTTTTACATCTTATAAAAATTGATCCTATCTCTTATTTGACTATATGAAATCTCAATTTTACAACATTTAAAATATGTTTTTATAATACCTAATAATATCGTGTCTTGAAGTAAAAAATAAGGTATTTCTTTCTTTTTTTTTAATATTCAAATATTGAAAATTTATTTTATCACACATTTGGGCCAGAACGGTTCTGCTACGTGAGCACGTGAGCAATCTATATTATTTTACACATCATTGCTCGCTAGTAAGAAAATGACAACTGATTAGTTTGATTTGAATATTGAAGAGTATGACGTGATACGTGAGTTGCCTATGCAGCTGTATATTTGTCAAACATTAATTTTTCAATGTACTTTTTATTAATTTTTTTTAAGTGAATGATTTCATTTATATCCTTTAAATAAATAAAGTCAAGATGCTGTCGTCGCCATCCAATAACATGACAAATAATAGTTCGTATTCAAATGACAGGGGTTCCAGTTTCGAGGCGGAATATGCTGTCGATCCTGCTTCAGGGGGCTTTTTTAATGCTGATTTTAAAAAGTAGGTCCTATATTAAATAACATTAAACAAAATCAATTTCATGTTGTTTTAGGCATGATGATCTTAAGGAAATGCTGGATTCTAATAAAGATAGCCTAAAGTTAGAAGCAATGAAAAGAATTATTGGAGTATGGATTATATACTATATTGCTTAGTAAACAGTCAATTAACGAATTTAATTATTTGTAGATGGTAGCAAAAGGACGTGATGCTTCGATGTTATTCCCAGCAGTAGTAAAGAATGTAGTATCCAAAAATATTGAGGTTAAGAAATTAGTTTACGTTTATTTAGAAAGATATGCAGAAGAACAACAAGATTTAGCTTTGTTATCTATATCAACATTTCAAAGAGCCTTAAAAGTATGTGACACAATTCAGACCATGAGTTCTGTACTATCAAGTTTTTTTGTTATTTTAGGAACCCAACCAGTTAATAAGAGCAGGTGCATTACGAGTATTATCCAGTATAAGAGTTAAAGTTATCAGTCCCATTGTAATGTTAGCCATTAAAGATGCATCAGCTGATATGTCTCCTTACGTTCGTAAAACAGCTGCTCATGCTATCCCAAAATTAAATGGGTAGGTTTATCTTCTATATTAATTGTTTTTACCTGTGTTATACAGCATATTTTAATCTCAATAACAGTGCCAGTTACAATTTCAGATTTCTAATATTAATTCTCATGTAAGTAATTAGAACTATGATGTAAATGTTATTGTAGCCTCAAATTTGGTTAATACATACTAAGACTTCATTGGCCTATATATATACGAAAATTAAGCTATAAATTAGTAAATCTCATCTATTGTATGGTTTACAGAGGAATTGATGCAAAAGAGGAACGTTCTTTTTAAGCTTAATGTGTTGTTACTAAATCTTCTGATAAATATAACTTTAAAATTTAAAAAAACTGTTATCACATTCACCTTAAATTACGAAAAAAAGGTTACTAATGACAAAAATATTGCTGAATTTGATAATGAAGCAAAAGCATGTTAGAAAATTATTAATCAAAAATGTAATTGTAATGACAAACAAGACAAGGTGCTCCATTTGCCTTCAAATCATCAAATGATTATTAATAAATATTTTTCATATATTGCAAAAGACATTGTTACTATCCTACCTTATGTTGATATTGGACTATAAGAGATTTCTTGCCCCATGAAAATCTTTTTTCCAAAGACCCATTATATCTGATGAAGTAAAGCAAGTTATTTGTTCATTGAATAACTAATTCTCCAGATTTTCATAAAATTTATAGCATGATAATAAAATAAACCTTATCATTTTAGGACCCTTAACTGATTTACTAAACATTTTTTATACTGGTGTCTTTCCTGATGAATTACAAATTTTCCAAGGTATACCATTATATAAAAAAGGTTATTCAAAACTATAGACCAATTAAATATTTTAAAGAAAATACAGTTTTCAGTACTAGTCAATACAGTTTAAGGCAAACTAAATCAACAACTGGTGCAGTTTAACATGTGGTATTGATATTACTCTATGTGACCTAACCAAGGCGTTTTGACTCTGTCTCCCATAGCATCTTATTGAAAAGATGTATTATTATGGAGAGGTAATTTACTGTATTTATTAAAGTCCTTTTTAAAAAATTATGGTCAATTGGTTTTTTATGAAAGCAACCTCTCATATCCAGAGTCATTTGATATAGGAGTCCCACAGGGATCGATATTGGGCCCGCTTCTATTTGTAATAAATGTAAATGATTTGCACAGTACATGAATCCACATTACTGTGTGCTTTTTGCCGATGATGCTTCCCTACAATGTTCAGATAGAAATTTTGATTAATTAATCCACAATTCATTATACAATATAAATAGAAGCAAAAGCAGAAAATTGGTTTGTTGATTAGTAAAATGTTTACAACAAGAAACACAAATCACCTATATGAATCTGTTAAACTTTTAGACATTTATATAGATAATAGATTATACTGTTCTAGTTAGTTTAATTACGGTGCAAGTATATTATCTTCCACTTTGTTTCTTTTAAGACAGCTTAAGTATATTACCAGCTATGATGTTTTCACTATTTCACTCACATATTAGTTATAGTATATTACTGTGAGATAATTTATATAATATTCTGTCTGTTTCACTACTCATATGATCATGACTTTACCTTCATTATTTATCTATGCAAATTTAATACAAAATGTCTACTACCAATTCAAGGTGATGGTCATTCACATAATACACGAATTGGTACTTATATTAAAGGTCCAAGGTACAGATTATCAAAATTAGAACTTAATTCTCGATTTCTAAGATGAAGAGCCAAATTCACCCAAAATTTAGTGACTATATGATTTTCCACTAACAATGTTCTTTATTTATATGTATAATGGTGGGTGAGGTTTTCTGGGTTTTCCTCACCTGTAAGTCAAATGGCACTATCAATCATCTTTAAGTCGCCCTGGAGCGCCACGAAAAATAATTACAGCCGTCCCCCTTCCCCTACACAAGTTGCTCAATCGACTTCAGGGGTTGAAATTTACTCGTAAGGGGGTGAATTAGGGAGAGTATTATTTTTATAAAATTTGTAGATTAGACCCTGATATGAAACCAGAATTAATAACTATAATCCAGAAGCTGTTGGCAGACAAAACAGTGCTAGTAATAGGATCAGCAGTGATGGCTTTTACTGAAGTATGCCCAGAAAGAGTAGATTTGATCCATCAAGTTTTCAGGAAACTATGTGCCTTGCTGGTAGATGTAGATGAGTGGGGTCAAGTTACCATTGTAAATATGTTAACCAGATATGCTAGAAGTCAATTTATTGACCCAAACATCCATGTAAATATTAGTTTAGGTGTTAAGAAATAATTTGATATAATCTTGAATATTTTAGGAAAATGTTGAACCTAATGGTGAGTTTTATGACTCTAACTCTGATGCTTCTGAGAAACATATTCCTAGTTTGGATCCAGATCATAGGTTGCTACTAAGATCTACTAGACCATTATTACAATCTAGAAATGCAGCTGTTGTCATGTCTGTTGCACAGTTATATCACCATGCTTCTCCCAGAAGTGAAAGTGTGCTCGCAGCGAAATCCTTAGTGAGGTTTTTAAGATCTCATGTTGAAGTACAGAGTGTAATCCTAAATGCTATAGCTTCCATAAGCATTACTAATAAAGGAATGTTTGAACCTTATCTTAAAAGTTTTTTTTGTTAGAATCTCAGATCCGACTAATGTCAAATTGCTTAAATTAGAAATTTTAACTAATATCACAAATGTTTCGAACGTTTCTATTATATTAAGAGAACTCCAGACTTATATTTCCAATAGTGATAAGAATTTTGTTGCCGCCACTATTCAAGCTATAGGAAGATGTGCCTGTTCAATTTCAGAAGTCACTGACGCGTGCCTTAATGGTTTGGTTTCTTTATTATCCAATCGGGATGGTAAGTAATATATCAAATGGCTCAGTCTTTCATTAGTTAAGTTTCTCTGGTGTTGGGACATGGAAAAACTGGAGACTGGTCATAACTTTTTTATTACTTAATATGAAATTACTTAATTCGGGAGGAAGTTATATTGGACTAAGTGTCATTCGCACCGCTAATAGTTAAGAAATAAGCCAAGTTTAAAATGACATTTTGCCATTGACAATGTCATTTTAAGCTTATTTCTTAACTACTAGCGGTGCGAATGGCCCTTAAGCATTTCTTTAACTGTAGAATACCCATCTTTCTAAAACTAACCACTTGATCAGTTTAGAAGTACATAATTTACATAAAATATTTGGAAAGTGGTATAAAATCCTGTCATTCATATACCACTCACAAAAGCGAATTAACTGGCGTTTCTTCAGTTAGCCTTAAGACATCCAATTTAGTAGAATTATTATTATGAGTAATATAAACGTTTTATGTAATAATAATTTTTACGTAATGTATTTCTGAAATGAAAAATACTTAAGCTTGTTTGATTCAATTGTCAAATTTCGAGTTAGGGTTACTCCAGTTTCATCATGTACAATTCTTTATAAAAGGGATCTGTGATATTTATTATAATGATAATAAATCACTCTCATTGTATGCATAGATGGTCAAAATAAATAATGTGTCCAGAGTGTCACATTAAAATAAAATATATATAATAGTTATGAATAGGGAAAGTTTATGTAAATTACTCTTATTTATCACAAAGCGTTTAAAATGTAATAAAACACAGGATGTTTTTCGTTAAAAAAATGTAACTCTGAAATATTGGGTATTCATGATTAAAAACACACAAAATTTTGTAGAAGCTGTAGTAGCAGAAAGTGTAGTAGTAATTAAAAAACTTCTCCAGACACAGGCAGCTGAGCCAAAAGAAATTATCACTCACATGGCGCGATTATTAGATACTATAACAGTTGCACAAGCTAGAGCTGCTATACTATGGTTGTTAGGTGAACATTCCCAAAAAGTTCCCCAAGTTGCGCCAGATGTTCTCAGAAAATTAGCCAAAACTTTCCCAGATGAGGTAAAAATATAATAATTCTGTAAATGTTTTATAAATTTTATGAAAAAATATTATTTTTAGGATGATATTGTTAAATTACAAGTGATGAATCTGGCAATCAAGTTGTATATTACCAATCCTGAGCAAACGTCTTTGTTATGTCAATATATTTGTAACCTTGCCAAATATGATCAAAATTATGATATAAGAGATAAGGCGAGATTTTTTAAACAATTTGTACCTAGTCAAGAGGGAAAAATCAAATCACAAGCCAGAAGAATATTTTTAGCTCCCAAACCAGCTCCTGTTTTAAAATTGCAATTTACAGGTAGATATTTTTAAACAATTCTATAATTTTGTTATAATATTTTTCATTACAGATATTGAAGAGTTGCAGTTAGGTTCTTTATCTCATTATATCAAACAGCGGGCCAATGGCTATGAAGATTTGCCTCCATTCCCTGCTAATCCTCCTCCAGGTGATGTTAGAAATGTTGAACCAATTATTGAAGAGACAAATTCTAAAGCCCACAAAAATGCTGTAAGTTTTTAAAACTATTATTACTACCCACCCCTGTACATATTTACACTTGAAAAAATAATTTGCTCAATTGTGAGTTTGACACAGATAAAGAAAACATTTTTTACCATAATTTACTTAACAATAATAAATATTAGGACCTAACATAGTCTGTGTAACTATGCTATAATTTCACATCTGTTTGCCATTTAAATGAAATCGAAAGTGTGACTACTTAACGCCCTGAGAGCAGATGGGTGTTTCCCCGGCAAGAAAATTCCTTGATGAATGTTTTCCTGATGGATGGATAGGTCGCGGTATCTAAGGTCGCGGTATCTAAGGTCGCGGTGGATTTGTGCCGTGGGTTACCAGATCGCCTGATTTAAACCCAATGGGTTTTTTATTCTGGGAATTTCTTGTATACAAGACTTCAGTGCATAATGTTGAAGAGCTCAGGCAAAGAATATTTGATAATTATATAGGGGGACATCACTTTGAACAGTTATTGTAAGATGTTAAATTCTTTTTAAGTTGATTGCTAAAACATTGTTAATTTCTCTACATTTTGTAAACTTTTTGCATATTAAATATATTAGACAGATTTAATTTTTACAAGTAGGTCTACAAAACTAAAAAATGGACAAAACATATCTGTCAAAATTAATTTCATGTAAACTTTTTTTTTAACTTCAATTAGTTCCAGGGTACCCTTAGATAATAATAATTAAAACTGAAAATGTGGCATTCATTTCTTAACCATTTTTTAATGGTCTTGACTTGTACGCTTCCAAAATTTATAAAAAACTTTAAGCAAAAAAAGTTTTAGGATATTTTCTTAAGCTCATGGAATGTATAAGAAAAAATTAAATTAAAATACCAACACGCGGTTGTCGGGTTTTAAGTTTTTATACAGAAAATATTTTTATAATCACGATTCTAAGAGTTGAGTTCATTAGATTATATGATGAAACAATAAAAAAAATACATTAAATTTAATAATAAGCCAAATTTTAAAAAAATTTGTTTTTTAATTATTAGGTACAAAATTTAAAAATGTTGGCCTTTTATTAGCCAATTTGTTTTTGCTTGGCAAGCATTTAACAATTATGGCAACACTATGCTACTTTAACTTTACCAAAATTATTAGTATTATTAAATATAAATATAAAACGGTAATTTTATTAGTTGTGCACGAGAGGCACCATCATGACTGATTTTGTTACTATAAATAACGCATTTTAGATTAAGAAGAAAAAAGAATTTACATGGGAGTCTGAGAATAGTTCAGGGGCTTCTACTAGTGCATACGGTTCGAGTACAAGCTCCTCTAGTGAAAGTGAAGAAGAAGGAGAGGAGGAAGAATCGAGTGAAGAAGAGTCATCGTCATCAGAAGAAGAGGAATCATCAAAGTAAGCATATTTCTATGTGTAAACAAATTTTTTTCCTTTACACACAAATATTTTACTCCTTAGGAAAGCCTCTGGAAGATCATTTTCTGAAGAATCAGTGTCTTCTAGTGAAGAATCAACTTCTGAGGAGAAGCCCCCTGTTGTTAAAAATTCTTCAAATGCAGCACAAAACTCTGGCGACATTCCATCCGTTAATGACAGTAATTCTGTAAGCAATAAAAAATCTAATTTGGACTTATTGTTAGACTTGGACGATATTGACAATCCTGCCCCTGTTATGACACCATCGTTAGGGGGATTTTTTACTCCTTCTACGCCTCAGGAACAACCTGCGACCATACAAGTTGTACCGGCTATTTACGTGAATACCAAATCATCGGAATTGCTGAATAGGATGAGCGGAAAAGGGCTATCTGCGACCTTCAGGTTTACCAGGTGTCCGCATCTTTATAGCCCCAGTATGACTAACATTAATTTGTTATTTACTAATAATTATGGTGACGATATAGATGATATTAGGATAGGAAAAAAGGTACATTTTATGCAACTATTTACATATTGATTTTTTTGTTTTATCTAGGAAATTTATGATAAAACTCTCTTTTACAATAAGTAAAATCGATAATTATTGGCGATTTGTGATAAATTGTGAAAAATTCTTTTGGCACGCCTTGAATAACTTTTTTTCCTGGGTTATGAATCATGAAGCTTACACAGCATGTTTATAATATCATTAGAATGATGAAAATAATGATCTGTGCTTCTTTCTAGTGGGGGTAAGACTGCATGGGATTTCAGCCACTCATAATTTAATTAATTAACTGACTGACGGTATTTCGCCCATTATATCGTTGGCTGATCATTAATTTTACAAAATTCTGTATTTAAACTATTGAATATAGAAATTCTATTATAAAATTAATTTGATCAATATTTTGTTGCCTTAATTCCTTTTTCATACTGATAATAACTAACTGACGTTCTTAGTAAGTATCTAAAGATATTTCCTCTATTATATCAACTAATGATTAGTTTTATTAAATTAACAGCTGGTTTCAAGAATGATCGTTAAATATTTATAGACTCATTAACGCTATTGATCAATTATAAATGCATTCCGATCCTTGACATCTATTTAACGTCATAGTTCTGGCAACAGGGCGCGTTTGGCGCAATATGACCAATGATATATATCATTATAGAGATTGCTCATCCATACTGTAAATAGGACTACGAAAAGCGCCTTTCCAAGTATTCCTAAATAGAATCGTTCTGGCCTAAACGTGATTTAAAATAAAATTTCAGCATTTGAATATTTAATAACAAAAAAACAATGATCTATTTTACTTCAAGACACGATATTATGTTAGGTGTGTTAAAAACTTTTTTATAGAAGAACGATGAATGTGCAAAAACGTTGAATTGGAGAAAATTGAATTTTTAACTTTCTCTATCTCATCTGTATCTGTAACGTGTGGAGGGTGGGTTACCCCACGGCACTTAGACCTCATTAGGCCCACTGTGCATCCTCCTGAGAAGATAGGCACCTCCTAGCTCGTGAGCCAGCCCACGGTTTTAATGTAGTTGACAACGTCGCCAAGAGGTGCTTCTCTTATATCGGCCGGTGTTAGCCGATACTCGCCGAACACAAATCTTCTAATAAGTGAGAGCGTCGAGCAATCATAGAGGATATGCTCGATGGTCTCATCTTCTTGTTCGAACCCTCTGCAGAGTGCGGATTCTGACAGCCCCATGATATGGAGATGCTTTCGTACTTGGCAATGACCAGTCAGAATGCCTGTGACTAGGCGCAGATTATGTCTAGTCATAGTCAAGTATGTGTTTGCTGCAGGGTTGTCAGGATAATTTAAGAGCTCCCTGGCAACTCTACAGTTTATTGTTTCATCCCATCTTTCCTTGAATTTCATAAGGGAATGTTTTTTGATTAGGTCTGTTACTGCCGATTTTGTCAGGCCAATAGAAGGGCCAGGTCCAAAAAGTATTTGGTTGGCTGCTTTCTTGGCTAGTGAATCAGCAAGACGGTTACATTTCAATGTGGCGTGACCTTTAATTCATCTTAAGGTGACCACGTTGTTGATGGATACTTCGGCCAAAGCTTCGTGACATTCTAGTACTAACCCTGAATAAATTCGTGGTCTGTTCAGGGTGAGTAGTGCTTATCTGCTATCTGTATAGATGAGCATGTTTCTTCCAGTAATATTGTTTCTGGTTATTTCTTTTGCTGCTATGAGAATCCCCGTTAGCTCTGTTTGAACTACACTGGCACTATTGCTTACAGCCCATTTTATGTTTAGGTTTAAGAATCTGGAGTATATTCCACATCCTGAGCCTTGTTTTGTTTTAGAACCTTCGGTGTAGATATGAATCGTACCTGCCACTTCCGCCTCACCAGATCCTACGTCAGGTTCTATTCCGACCGTGTGGAGGCGTGTCATTGTCGTCAGAGCAACCTCCTTGATGTAAATATCAAGGGGAGTGAGACTAAGAATGACTTCTATCGCTCTAGTCGGTGTTTTTTTCATGGCTCCTGTTATATTGAGACATGCTGTTCTTTGAATTTGTTATAGTTTACGGATAGCTGTTAATTTTTGTGTTTTCGGTACCCAGACAACTGCACCGTATGTTAGCATAGGTCTTATGATAGCCGTGTAAGTCCATGCGACGACTCTGGGACAGAAGCCCCACGGTTCGGCGGCATTGTTCATAAGCAATGTATGCTCTTTTAACTCTGTTTTCTAAATGCGAGTTCCATGTTAACTTGCTGTCAAAGGTGAGACCTAGGTACTTCACCTCTGTTGCAAAGTTTAGTTTTGTGTTTAGGAGTTCTGGAAGTTTTAATTCTCATGGAAAGTGTATGATCTTAACTTAGTATTTACAGCAGTGCAGTATCATGTTTAATTAATTAACAACAAGAGTAGTGGTTCAAAAAAATATTTTGCTTTTGATTTTTGATTTTTCTTATACCTATATACACCTATTTTAGGCGGAAGAACGATGAATGTGTATAAAATTTATACTAAAGAAAATCGAATTTTTACATTTAGGTCATTATCTCATAGAAAGAGTAAAAAATATTCTGAACTTAGTATTTATGGTCTCATGTTCCAGTAATTACCAACAAGAATAGGTACGTTTTTTTTTTCATATAAATCGGCAACCAAAAATGTTTATGATGCATTTTTGGAAATTATTGAAATAATACAGATTATCATTTTAGTATTGGCAGAGGTATTTATGCGATGTTGGCTTTTCTACAGAGACGGCCATGGTTTCAATACAAAGTCACGTTCATCTATATTTCCTCAAACGCCAGGTACACTCATGGTTTTTCCCGCAACTGACTAAAATATTTTTAGCTATATATGGCAACCCTTATCAATATTCCCGTAAATGTTTAGTAGGCGTAATAGTACATACAAATACCTATAGATTGCGCCATGTATCTCGGTTTTCATAAATTTTGCACCCTCATCGTTTTTCCCGCAGCTCCTCAATTATTATTAATTATACAGAACAAAGTTTTCTTGATTACTGAAAAAAATTAATTTATAAATTGCTGCCTTATTATAAATAGGACCATGATATTTGTTTTGTCAAAAGGACATTCTAACAATTTACACTAGTTTCAATTAACAATATAAACTATCTGTAAGGTGGGTTTCTCCACAGCACTTAGGCCTCATGAGACCCATTGTGCACCCTCCAGGTGTATACAGAACTGCCTCTCAATTTGTCAAAACCTGTTGGTTGATGCTGAGGGTTGTCTACAAATAGTCATCTTGACAACTCCTCAAAAGTCTACAGGTTATTAACTCGTCAAAGTCCTGCAGGTTATTAACGTCGCCGAGAGGTGTGTGTAGCTGTAGATGGCCATTTGGTGGGCTTCTACCATCCCGATAGTAAATTCCCGGGTGAAGTAATTTTATCCGCCCACTCCACAGAGCAAGCAATATAAACTACTAATAATTACTTTCTATAAAATGTTCATTTAAATCTGTAAAAATCTTAATGACAAGAAAACACTATGTAGAGCTGGACAGTACAATTATTGTATACTCAAAATTTTACTTAAGTAGTCAAAGTACTTAGTAATTGTAAATTGTACTCAAAAAAGTACTTAGTAATAGGTACTCGTGAGTACTTTCATCCTGATGGGATTCAGTACTGGAAAAATATTGAGTACTTTATATTTTAAAGTACTCAGTACTTCTGATTTCTACAGCTGAGAACGAGTACCGACGCGCTTACAGGCCCAGGCAAGCCTCAGCTTGTTTGTTGTTTCTTACAGAACTACTCTCCTTACTATTATTATTTTTCATTTTATGTTTTGCCATTTATATAAGTTAATTGAATTTTAGGTATTGAAAGATATATTATTATTCACAGTATCGTAAATACAAATACTTAGATGTACATTAGAAAAATCAGACTGTATTCTACATGTTGTTCCTCTTCATTTCCCAAAAGTAATTATTTTCATTTTCATTATTAATAAAGTCCTTGTTTCACTGCTACAAGAAAATATTGTTTGTAAATAAAGAAATTATTTCTTATAATTAAAGTACTTTACTATTTGTGATTAGTATAATAATCCTTTGTTTTCAATCATAAAAGCTAATTTTTTCAGTGTTAAATCTTATTTCTTTTTTTGCGTATTTTCAAATATAAGTATATTTTGTAAACAATTCTCATGTCAAAAGTTCGTCTAGTCTTAGCTCTCGGCGCTTTGCAGGTGTTGTAACGCGACGTTCCTTATGGCAAATTTTGCACTCACTCCGAAGAAATATCGTTTGTATTAATCTGCACTGTATCCTGTTAAATGGGCCAACAAAGACAGAGGTAATTCTTGATAGGGACGTATCTCGATAATAATCATACTGTCACAATGTTGCCAGGCCCTGTCAACCGAAAATCGGTAGAATTATCGAGAAAAATCGGTAGATCTCAGCAAAAAACAGATTTTGAAAATCAAACAAAATTTGTAGAAAACAAAGTTTTTAATACTAAAAAGTAACAAAAAAATTCTAAAACACACATTAACTAACATTTTTAAGTAAGAAAAACTTAAAAATTTAATTTTAATCGTAGAAAATAAAAAACGAAACCCATTATATAATTAATATTTTTAAAAGAAAAACTTAATAATAAAGGGACATTTTTTCCAAAACTTTAATATTAGACAACTCTATAACTGTAAACTGTAAAACTATCGAATTAGGAATTATCTTTTACTTTCTAAAATTCTCTTATTTATAACTTCGTTGCGTGTGATTTCCCGATTGCTAGTGTATTTATTTCCCCCTATAGTAAGTGTTGTCCGTCCGCGCCGCAGATCACTGAACTATATATTAAACTGGAAGAACAAAGCCGATCAACAAAATCAAGCCGCATAGCGAGGTGATATTTGACACTTTGGCGCCCACATGTGCGTATCGAAATGCACTAAAAAGGATCAACAAAATGAAATTTAACACTTATTACATTCAACTATGACACCTTTTAATTTAAGAAAATCACTTAAAAATGATTTTTGATTAATAAGCAGCTGAAAAAATGTTCCAATAATTAGGCATTCCAACGACCTGTCCAAATGGCTACCAGTGGGTAATGACAGTTTAGATATGGCAACCCTGTTGTCATGTTGTCATTAACAGGGTCAATGATACATATATAGTTAGATTGCTCAAAGCTGGTCGTTTACGAGCGGCCATATTGCCTGGCAAATATTTATTAATTTGAATCGGTTTAGCAAAAATGTGTTTTAAAACCAATTTTTAGCCTTTAGATATTTAAAAAAAAAATAATTGCTCACATTTTTACTTCAAGGCATACGCTTATGTTTATTTTGAAAAATATGGATAATCAATCTATGTAACTATCTATTTCATTGACCTTGTCAAATCACCAGGTCTACAGGGTTGCCATAATTTTGCAATATCATAACCCGTCAAAGCCCACTGGTAGGCATTCAGTTTAGAATGCCCAATAATAATTGTTAAAATAGCGCGTTATTAATAAAAAATAATATAATTTGTCGTAGTACGCCCGTGGGAAACGTGACGTAGAATGCTCGAAATTGACAGTCTGGCATCCAAATTGTCATGTGCACCGATCGTTTTTTTTACCCATGTCTGCTTATAAATTAGGAGTAGGTTTTATGTCATATAGCCATCCAGTTTAATATCAAGGTCGGTGCTGCAGATAGAATTAAAATTCCAACGAGATTATAATATTAGGCAATTAGGATGGGCGTGTGTAGAGTGTGTTGCATAAAAGGACATCTCATCGTTAGAATTAAGTCCAAGTTCAACGCGTTGTCAATGACAAGTGACGGCTACTTTTTTATTACAAAATATACAGCCCTGAACGATAATATTTTCGGATATTGTTTTTAAAAATGGGTTCAGAGTACGGTGTAAAGAATAGTGGAAAGTCTATAGTTTGTTTTACTTTTAATGCATAATATAATAAGTGATATTTAACAAATATTTAAAAGTTATGGACTTCACAATTTTTTATAGTATTTAAAAGCTAAAACGTAAAATGCACTCTTTTATTTTTGCGCTAATTATTTCAGGAAACTTGTGTTAAGATTTAAAAATGTACTATCGATGAGGTGGCGCCAATTTGCAACCGTGCTAATTCGAGATATACGTTTTATTAAACACATCATGTTACGTATTTGTTGACATTAAGAGATAGAAATTTAAAGTGACGTCTTGTATTACTTCGAATTAAAAATAGTTTTCCAACCTAAGAAAAAAGTTGAGTTGGGTCTTAAGAAAGTTTGTCAAAAAATACAAAATATATGTAGTTAAGAATAGGTACTTACTTTTTTGGTACAAAATGCAATGTTAATTGAATGTTTGTATAATATAATAAAAGATTATTTGAAAAATCGGTAGATTGCCAAAAAAATCGGTATATCGGTAGATTTGTATGCATTAATATCAAAATCGGTAGTTTTACCGATTAATCGGTAGCAATGGCATCACTGTACTGTCATTTGGAAAAGCGCCGTTGCCAAATTTACCATTTAGGAGATATTTTAAGGAGGCAATAAAGTTATGGGATCATTAGATAATGAGATATTTTAACAATCGTTCTTGTAACTGGCTGTTAATTTTATAAAACTAATCATCAGCTGACGATATAATGAAAAGATCGTCTGCCAGTTAATTAATTAAATTATGAGAGACTGAAATCCTTCTACAACTCCATACCTATGGCCCTCCCAACTGACGGTCTTGCCCTCACTAGAAGCATAGCTGATTGTTATTATCATAATTCTAATAATATAAACACGCTGTATAAATTTCATGATATATGTGTTATATTTTATTTCATTTTAAAGTTGTAATCGACAACAGTAATCCACATTTGCCAGTTTAAAAAATGTATAAGTATATTTAATATTTAATCACTGTCACATTCTTCACAATATATTAAAAAAAAACTCAAGTGATAGATTTCAATTAAATAGAATGTCCCAACTTTTATTCAGTTTGACTCAGCCTAGTGAAATGACTGCTTGGGAATGTTTAGTAGTTGGGCTAGGTGCTTTATTATTGACTGTATTATTAAGACTACGAAATTCTTAGGTAATATGTGAGATGTTTTTTTTTTAGAATTTGGCCTTTGGGATGAACATGCACGATTTTGCTTGTATATCAAAACTGCCACCGAATTGTTCGCTTCCTGCAACACTTGGTATAGATTTTAATGATACTACACAACCAGCAAATTTCGAAATAGTGTCTTCCTTAGGTAAGTATTGATATTAAACAAATTATTTATCTACATCGTTTATACCTGTTTAGAAGATAAACTGTCAATTTTAGGACACAACTGTATAAGACTACTTTGCTCAATTTTTTCTCCTTTATCATCTGTTAAAAGTATGCTTGTGTTATCCCTAACTACTTTTATGCTTTGAACAAAATAAGAATTTAACTTATGTGATTATTTTCAAAATATCTCCATTAGCTTTATACAAATATTTCCTACTCATTCTCAAATATAAATTTTTCACGTAGGCACAAATCTTTAAAACCAATTTTTGGATTAATTATTGGTACTCTTTTTTCAGGTAAAGTAAATGTTTCGTTAAAACCTAATATTGGCGAGTTAATAAGGCCTGTAGTAATGAGTTCTGCCCTTTTTATTCAACATCAAAATAAACTACGTGGTATGACTGAGCATTCAATGCCTATAACGAAACACGTCTCTGATATAGAGGATAAAATTAAGGAACTTACTAATTTAGGACCATGTGATCGATCAGATCCAAATTGTTTTAGGTAAGTTTTTGTTTATTGGTTTGGTTGATTTTAAGGAGGGTTTTGTAGTTAAGATCCTCGATTAGGTGCTTTGATTTATTAAACAATTTCTTTTTCACATATTTATTACCATATCTTGGGGTTTATATTTTTTGTGTAAGAAAAACACACGTTTGATGACCACTGCCTTCAAAAATACAAAATGCAAAAATCGTATTTCATTATTTCTAGGTTTGGTGGTCAATCTCTAACATCTTCCAGTTTAATATTAGTATCAATAGAAGTAAACGACACTACGATATTAACGGTTAATTGCGAAAACATTGTGTTCGGCTCTGTGTTACTGAACGAATTGGTGTCCAAACTTTCTTCATAACTCAATTATTTTTAATTATATCGATATTTATTTCCTATCCTATTTTATATATTACAAGTTAAAAATATTTATGTTTATTAGTCTTTATATTTCTGCAGTCAATAAATTTTATATATACGTTGAATTTGTTTTACACCTTTTCGTTTTTTATTTATTTATTATTACAATATCCACTGAATAGACCCAATTTACAGGACAATGTAGGAACTATAACAAATAAAATAAGTAACAAAAGAAAAAATAATATACAGAATTACAAAATAGGGATTCAAAAAAGAAAAACTCAGATAAAAAAAATGTATGTCATTCTAAATATTTACATAGTAGATATAAAAATGTTTGTTAAAAAAAAATAGAGTACTGAATACTTAATTATTGAGAAATTATTTTTTTATTGTCATATATTTAATATATCAATATCATGCGATGTAAAAAATTAATAACTTTTTGTTCAGTAATATTTTTTTATTAATATTAGATTGTAATAAAGTATACGTATTGGAGATACGATTACACTACAATTTAAAAATAAAATCTTTTAAATGCCATCCATGTTCAGCGTCACAAGAGACGGCTTCTTTCTATGACATGTTCCATGACATCCATCAGTGTAATTGCTTGTAGTGCTCTAATATCTGCGTGAATGTTCTGACATGTCTTCTTGTTTTACCTGTGGCGAAGTGAAAGTCGTGGGTGGCACCAGACTGTTATTTAGAATAAGGGTTATCCTGGCGCCAGTACATCTAGAGTACTCTTAAAACAGCCCAGTTGAGTAACTAAATTCCAGGCGTCACTTACAAACAGCTGGGCAGAGTACTGCGTTAAAGTACTCATGAGTATTTCACAATGAATTGCTTTACAAAGTACTCATATGTATCTGAGTATGAGTACTTATATGAATAATACTCAAAGAAAATAAGTACTTTTAGAGAGTATTCGTGAAAAATATGAGTAACGAGTATGAGTACCTTACCTATTTTAAATTATACTAGTTAGTGGCAAGTTTAGAAAAAAGGAATTATAATAATTAGTAATAGTAAGTCAGTAACAAAAAAAGAGGGTATCACTTGTCTTCTATAAATTAGTTAGCACTTACCATTAACGTGTAAGCCCAAATTTTCATTTTAATGTTAGTGTAATAAAGGTATTAGATAGGGGCAGAAATACAGATAGAGAATACTCAAAATAAAAGTCCTATATTTTTAAAAAATAGGGTGCCATTATTCCATCATTGGACAAATTATTATCTTTTCCGTCGTGTATCGGAATTGCCTTAGGTTTGTGACTCCGATGGTAGTGGGATTTTGAAAATTAATTGAATTGTTAGTTATATTTTGAAAATATTGACAGGATTTAGAATTGTCAGTTGGGAAATTAAAAAAAAGATATTATATTGAAGTTAAGATGGATAGATATTAAAATTTAAGATTTAAAGAATAAAAAAGAAAGATGAATTTTTTTATATTAAAGAATAATGTAAATGGAATAGGAAGGAGAGTTCGTCAGAAGGATGAGTAATAGAAAAAACTAGAGAAAAACAGCAAGAGGAGGTAGAGAAAGTCAGGAGTTAAAGCAGAACAGAGGGAGCAAGAAGAAAGAAGCGAAGCGGAATAATTATATTTTTTCAAGTTCAACATTTATCGATTAGTATTATTTTTTTGAAATTTTTATTAGAAACCAAAGGGGCCATAACCCTAAAAGTTCTACGATATTGGAATGGTTTAACTTTTCTAAGGTGAAATCATTATAATATACCGGGTGTTTAAATTAAAGTGTTACAGTTAAATACCGCCGAAAATATGCATTTGAGAAAAAAAAAGTTTCAGACAAAAGTTTTATAGTTTTTGGAGGAAACATTTTGGCTAAATTCATTTTTTTATAGCTGGTCATAATATGGCCATATCGAGGTGAACTTTGTTTTTTTAAATGGGAATCCCATTATTTTTTACATATTCTTAAAGTACATATTTATTTTTTGAGTAACAGCTATTTGAAAATTTTGCTGGGCGAAAAAAAAGTTGACCATATTATGGTTAGCTATAAAAAAAAATTTTAGCCAAAATTTTTTCCCCACAAAACTATAAAACTTTCGTCTGAAACGTTTTTTTTATAAAAGGCGGTATTTAGCTGTAACACTTTAATTTGAACACCCGGTATATGTGCGCTTTGGTACTCGTACTCGCTACTCGCCAGCTGTAGAAAAAAAGTACTGAGTACTCTAAAATATAAAGTACTCAAATTTTTTTGAGTATGTGTCCCATCAGGATGAACGTATTCACGAGTACCAATTACTGAGTAGTACTCGAGTACTGCCCAGCTCTGCTTACAAATGGGGTAAGTACATGGAAGAATCTTAATACCGGTAATACCTGCCTTAAACGGTGTAATCACCCTAAAGGTGATTCTAGAAGAGCTAGATAAAGAGGGGTATAGTTAAGAGAAACAGCAAGTTTATACAAAATAATATATTTAAAACGTAACCATGGTGGAGCAATACGAAACCCAAATAATTTTAGTCTATTTACAATCAATTGCCCAAACATAAAAAATATGAAAATAAATATAAATCAGTAAAGACCGGATATTCTTAATAAGGGGTGGAACCTCTAAGTTAATTAACATGATGTTTATATAAAAAAATCTGATGTGTCCAACACATGGCTTTCCTATCTAGTTATTATAGGCTTTTTCCGGTTATTTTGTACAACCTATTGTAGCACCTCTATAAATGTTTAGAGGATAAACTAAATATATACGTTTTCCACATACATCTAACTCGAAACATTTTTCTATAGATATTCATTGAAAACGAAAATACTGAAAAATTTAAATTTAGCACTCTTCCTCCAATTTTTCCATTACGGTCCATTTTATAAAAATCTTGAAAAAAAAAACAAAAATTATAGAGATCGATATCGCAAACAACTTTTAGTTTAACAATTTTCTTAAAAATCAGAATTTTGCACATTTTGTCAAATTTATTGAATACGGACCATTTTAGGAAAATTTTGTTTGGAAGAAAAATTATAGATAATAATATAAATAACTAAATTCCATAAAATATAAAAATGTTCTCTTATAAATTACCCCCCCCCCCCCCTTCAGATGTTCCGACTCTGCCCAAAATCTAATCAGTTCACTGGAGGTCGGAATAAAGCTTAAGTTTAAAATTTGGTGTTTTTCTTTGCATCCGTTCATGAGTTATCGAGGATACACACACACAGAGAGATCATCGCGAAAATAGTCAAAACGGATTCAGGAGATCCCAAAACGTAAAAAACCGTTGAAAACTCGAGGTCGAAAAAATCATGATTCCTATACTTTCCTTATCTGTATACAGATAGGAAAGTAAAAAGGTAAATAATGAAACTATATTTACCCAATAACCCAATTAAAACTTCATAGAAGTAAATACAAACAAAAAGCAATACATCTTATCAGCGGTGATAATTAACCTAACGAAGATATTTTCAAAAGGAAAGCCTCGACGGAATAAATAAAAAAAACATAAAAGAATTAAATCCACAATTTTAAATAATTTTTGGGACACACCTTGTATACTAATGCATGGTACTAAAGCTTTGACAATAAATACAATATAAATATATTTGATACGGTTATTCTCACGGTATTTCGAATAAAGGTTAATTAACAGTATAGTAAACAAAATAGTATAGTACAAAATCAACAGGTTGAATACAACTAACTAATGTCATTCTAACATCTTAAATATTGCAGTCGGCATTACTATGGAAAAGCAATATTTATTTTTCTCGTGACAATTCAGAAAAAACTTGTGAGGTCGATGAACGCGTGCGGTGATAGCCCAAGAAATTTGGTCGGATTTTCGGAAAGATTAAACTTGACTAAAATTCACCTATTTTAATTGTCGGTCCCCGAATATTCGATTATTTTTTAAGGGATACGGTTTAACACAGTTGGTGCAGAGGTCGAGGTCATCGACCTATAGTGAATTAAATATTTCACTGATTGACGGGGTAGTAAAGGGTCTACTGACTCGGGGCACTTTGGATATTCAGAAATTAATTCGGCGACACAAGTCTGTGCGATCACTAGCCTTGCCATTATATATGGTTCCAAATTAAGTTGCTTGGACCTTATGAATGCTGAGAATAATAAATTCACAGTGGATAAGTCTTTAAATTGCTTTATATTTCTAATTACAAATCAAAGCATTTGAAATAGTCTTATCAATGTGAAGAATAAAACTTAATTTTGGATCGAAGTAAACGCCGAACTTTTTAATAAATTCTGGTTGCATCATTAAGGTATTGTTTAATTTGTACAGAAAAGTGACAATGCAATCTTTTTACTAAATGAAATAACGTTACATTTACTGGCGTTTAAAGGAAGTTCGTAATACACCAATCATTTACCAATAATTAATAAGCTTTGTCAGTGGCTCCCGCATGTAGTTGCATGCATTTGGTTTTTCTTCGCCCAATGTTAGAAACCTCATTCCACCAGGCCTTCACATTGGCACAGGACGTGGAATGATGTTTCCTCTTCTTCTTCACAGAACCTGCACAAAATTGCTTCTTTTGCTGGATTGGTGACAACCATGTGCCCTTTGAGGCGACAGTGTCCAGTAAGAAGGTCTACTGTTATCCTAACGATTTGACGCTCTTGATCCAGTAAGTCTTTCGTGAACTTGGCCGATGGTTCCTTGATGAACTGTTTGGCCTGGCTCAGTCTTGGATAGTTGTTCCATCATTCCTGAGACTCTTTTTGCATCCATTGTTTAATGGATGCCTTGCACAATGCCTTAGCAACTCCACAGAAGGGTGGTTCGGGGCCTATCATTGCCTTATCTGAGCCTTCTCGGGCTAATTCGTCGGCTTTTTCGTTGCCCTGATATCCCTCATGACCTGGAACCCAGGCTAGGGTCACCTTATTTTGACTACTTAGCTCTGCCAGGTCTTCTAGACAGTCTTTCACCAGTCGTGATTTGATTTCTGGTGTGAGAGAATTGCCTTTAGAGCTGCTTGGCTATCAGAGTATATGGCAATAGATACTTGCTGATTTAATATTTCTCTTGTACAGTGTTGTATGGCTATTAGTTCAGCCTGGAACACTGTTGCATATTTTCCTGAACTCAGCGAA